TAATATAATTTTTTTTTCTCTTTCTATGAAAAAGATAATATTGCTGATTACATTGATATAAATTAAAATAAATTAATTGCTATGCGCATATATATGTTATTCTACTTAATTGGTATTTGTCTAATCGGGCCATATAAATTAGGTAATGCATGATATCATCAAAATCTCAGTATCTGATCACTATTCTTTATCCAACATAATAATGAATTAGTACCTTTAATTTTCAACGTGTCTTTCCAGATGACCAACAAGGACAAGATTATAAATATATATATATATATATATATATATGTCAAATTTGTTGTCTCCTCAAAACGTTTTGCTTCTCTAATTTTCATTATATATGTACTAAATAATATGAGGCTATTCAGCAAAATTTCTCATTGATGCCTATCAATTAGTAGAAATTATTCTAACCATCTCCATTTAAGAAAACCATATTTTCTGAAGCAAATTAATGAGTGCTTGGTATATAGTTTTGCTTGGAGTAGGCTTCAAACAAGTTGACACACAAACACACACATATGATATAAATATACATCATTACATATTTCCTACAGGCTATGGCTTTATATGAAAGTCCATCGAAGAAAGTAGCAGCTTTCCATAAAAGAAAATGTGATACGTGCTCGTTTAATGTGCATGCGTTCGTGACTCTGAGCTTCAATCTACAAGTTCAACACCCATCAGTTTCAAAGACTATAAATATATATATATATATATATATATATATATATATAGACATATCATGCAGTGTGAAAAGAAAAATCAATTTAGAACAGGCTCGAGAGACCGGTATTATTGTACTTGTTCTCACACGACAGGTAATTAGGCCCGTTGTTGCTAACTTTTAGACGTTTAGTTATGTAACCTAGTTCAAATTATATATTACACACACACACACACACACACACACACACACACATATATATATATATATATAGAGAGAGAGAGAGAGAGAGAGGAAATATATTTTACTTACCTTTGTATAATGAAATAATGTGTTAGCAAGCACTTATTAGTGATCCAGTGAGGGGCCAAATATAATAACCTATTTGTTTTTATTTTTCTCGGAAACGAACCAAATATTATACTTGGATCTTGTATTTTCCCACTTCAAATGAATCAGATATGGCCCATGTGTACCCTGCACGTTGTTTATATTTCCACAATAGTCAATTATGGTGGAGTGACGAAAATATATACATGCATTCTATATAAGAAATCATTTCCAATTCCCTGTATATATAATTATATATAGTGTCTAAATCAGAGATAGAGAGAGAGAGAGAGAGAGAGAGAGAGAACAATTAATCATTGCAGCAAGCAGGAAACATGTTGTTTGTGAGCTCCTTGGTTGCGCATCCTTAATTTCTCTTAAAGCAAGTACTCAAGAGAAATATAGTACATTTCTACTTTGTAGTGACATAAAAGATGTGAATCAATTGAATCACGTTTTAGGCCTGTTGATTAAGTTTCTTTTCATAGAAAAAAAAAAATAACTTTCTAATCCGTGGCCCCTTTTCTACAGTATCTTTTCAACTAAATCTTTACTAATTAATTAATTTATTTATTTCCTACTTTCGACAGCTGCTCAACCTCTCTTGTTGGCCCTGCTTTCAAGCTGTTTGTTTGGAACTAAACTCTCCACATATATCTCCTCCTTTTCCACTTCATTTGCCGTGAAGAAAAAGAATACAATAAAATGCAAAAAAAAAAAAAAAAAAAAAAAAAAAACCCCTTTATTTCCGGGAAAAAAAAAAAAAAAAAAAAAAAAAAAAAAAAAAAAAAAAAAAAAAAAAAAATCGCCTTTATATTATGAAAAGTTTTTTCAAAAGGATTAAGAAACCAAAAAGAGGAAATAATGATCATACTAATCCAATACTTAAAAAGGAGTCAAAAAGACGTTCAGAAAGCCGAAATTTGAACTATTTGATTATATACCAACTACAAAGTTGGATTTTCTAAGTGACGCGGAACTTTTTTATTGAAGGAAATAGTGAAGTACAATTTATTTCCTTTTGCTTTAGGATTTATTGCGGGTCACGTGACTCATGCCCACAGAGTGAAGGATGTCAAGGGCAACTTTGAATTGAATTAATTATTATTTAAAAAAAGCTGAGTTGAATGAATAGATAGAAGAAAAATGGCAATGTGTGTGGGGAAGGTAGAGGAGAGAGAGGAGAGAAGACCTAATTTCTTCTTTGTTGACTTGCACTTTCAAATAATGCGGCCCACTCTGGCCACCTTACAGCTGACTACTTGAAAAATATGGCAATACATTACATTGCACTAAAAACTTTACAGTTCACGAATTTAAATTGAAATATAATTTTATATAAAAAATTTTTTACTGTAATAAAAAAAGTTAAATGTGATTTTTTTTAAGAGTTTTTAATTGTAACAAAATTAAAATAATTAAAAACTTAAATTTATAAAATGAGCGAGATCTAAATTTTTCAACTCAAAAATCTAAAATGATAAATATTGAAGCTTACTTTGTAAATATGTTTTGATTGTTTATTAAGTGAAAAATTTACAAACTGATAAAATTACAAATGATAAATATTGAAGCTTACTTAATAAAAGATAAAACGATTAAGTAGAATTATCTTTTATTAAGTGAAAATACAACTATAATTTATTTTATTTTATTTTTTGTTGTACAGCTTTAATTCTCTTAATTAAGTACTAAGTAGGGATTATTAATTATTTCATTTTATTGCAGAGTTAGCTTTGTGGGGAGCTAAATAAAGTTGCTTTTCTTATAAAATTACAAACTGCGGTTATTTGTGTGTGGCTACAAACCGACTAAAATTTGTAGCCATAATTATTGTTTCGGCCTGCCGGAAATTTGTTTTTGTTCTGTATATGTAAGAATATTGTGTTTTTTTCTTTTTAATTTAGAATTGTGAGGATTTGTACAACCACATATAAGAATATTGTTGTTCTTATGTTAAATTTTTTCCTTTTGTGCTACTTATAACTACATAAATATTTTGGTATTCTTACGATTTAAAAACCAATAGAATTAGCACGTTAGCATGCATATGCCTACTTTATGATTTTATCAAAACCAAATTGCATTTGCAATATTTGATCGAATTATATAGAGAAAACAAAAACAAAACAAAACAAAAAAGTGCATGCAATGACAAATCAATCTTTACTAATTGTTGGTATTTCTATGAATTCGATTTCATTTTTAAACATGTTGTTAGCAATCATTAGCAAACAAAAAAAATTCATGTTGTTAGCAATAATATATTTCTAAAATCCCACGATATAAAGAGTAATATTTGAATCATCACCTATTTAGCAGTTTACTAATCAGTTCGTAAACAACATTTCTCTCCATTTAGATAGAACTTGGAAAGCTTTGTGTGAAAATAAAAGACAAATTAAGATGATGTTTGGTTCATGAATCAAAAATTATGATTCGTGATTTTAATTTTTAAAATTTAAATTTTTTGTGAGAAAAAAATACTATTGAGAACCAAAAATCATAATATTAAACTAAGTAAAACTCTTAAAATAAACGTCTTAAACACGTTGTTGAATAAAAGGAAAAAAAAATGTCCAAAGTTTCGACTTTTACCGACCATTGAGGGTCAGCTGCATGGTAATTTTGAATTTCTCACCGAATCAATGAAAAAGAGGAAAAAATAAAAGAAGAAGAAGAAAATGCATAACTGTACACGTTCTGCTTTTGGACGATTAAAACCATTTTTTCCGCTCAACATTTATAGCTTTCAGCCAAAAAAAAAAGGAAAAAGAATACTTAACAGCAAAAATATATATATTCATTATTCATGAAAAAAATATATTTTTTATGGTCTAAAAAAGAAAAAGAAAAAATATAAAAAATAGGGGTGAGGGAGTCAACCGTCACCGTCGGTCCAAATCGAGGCGAAGGCCCAGAATGAAAACAAAGCAACGCGCCAACGTGTGGTGATAGGAGTCAAAGGAAAATGGGGCCCACAAGGCCAAGTCGTCAGCAGTGTGGGCCCGATGCAAGGTCCCGATCAGAGCCGTTGCCTCAGACTACTCTATTTCACGAGCGACAAGCGCCGGACCAATCGGGGCGGTGAATTCTTAGAACGCGTCAATCACAACTCCTCCCTCTCTCTAACTTGATCACTCTGACAAGAAAAAAATAATTAATAATTAAAACTTAAAATCAAACCGCTGTCCTCACGTGGGTCCTACTTTTGTGCCCTTGGTGGGGCGTACTTCCACTTGTCTTTCTTCTAGGCTCTAGCAAGTCCTATTGAATATGCCATCCAAATTGTAGAATGATCCTAGGGAAATTTTCTTTTTTTTTTCTTTGTAATATCCAATGGATAATTTCTGTGAAGGAGCTGAGTTATGAAAATTGATTTTCGATGTAAAATAAGTGGACCCAAACTTTGCTTAATTTGATATTCCCTTTTAACTTTTCTTTCAAGAGAATTGAAAGAGAAAAAAACTTTTCAAGAAAAAAAAATGGTATGTCGATTGTCGACAAAGAAGTCCAATCGTCAGGATGCATGTTGGAATGATTATAATATATAAATAAAAAGAAATTATCTGTGGTTTTCAAAAGACATTAATCAACCAAGGCGAAAAAATTATTTGAATTGGTGTGGATGCATTAACTGAATTCTGTTTTTTTTTTTGTTAGAAAATGAATTTCAATATTTGCATGGTAAAAGGCTAGGATCAATAAGTTTATAGTAAGTTTTGGTCTCAATTTTTTTTTTCTTTGAAATTTGTATTTTATTTTAAATATAAATTAAACCAAGCAAATCATACATAGACTTTTCATTATATAACTTTTTAAGTATAAATCTAAAGAAAAATTGGAATATACTCATGTGGTATTTAAAGCAACATCATGTAGTATTTTTACACCCTACCCTAAAAAAAAAAAAAAAAAACATCTAAAACCCTTAATTTTCTCTCCGACCAAATCTAACAATAAAAACATTTGGCACAAACAAAACACCACCACTTTTGCTAACCTTGACATCTCTCTCTCTCTCTCTCTCTCTCTAATTCTCTCTCTCTCTATTTTTATAATTCTTCCCTTTGGATTTATGGCCAAAGGAAGTGGACTCTCCATTGATTCGGATCCAATCGGGTTATTTATCCACAAGCCAACAGTACTCAACTCCTTTCAGCAAGATCAGGACTACAACAACAACCATCACAATATCAAGAAGGAATACGGCCAATTACATCCTAATTATCCCATGGACAGCACAATTCAGAGGTCTCCTCCACCAACTACTATTCAGTTCCCAGTCAACCTTAACTGCACCACTTCCCCGGCACCGTCAGATCGTGATCAGAAACGAAAGGTCATCGACGAGATGGACTTCTTTCGCGATAACCGATCTTCTAGTATGGCCACCTCCGATGATCACAAGGACTTAAATATAAATCGGATGGATCAGATTGATGAGTTGAAAGTAAACGTGAGAAATCTTTCATTCGTTCTCTATACATACACACACATAAAGTTATTACAATTTGTTCATTGAATTTTTTTGCTTGTGTTGGTTGTATGTTATATATATAGACGGGTTTAAATCTTCTCACTGCAAATACAAGTAGTGATCAATCTATGGTGCTAGACGATAGCGTATCAACCGATCACGGAGAAGAGAAAAAAGCCAAAAGCGAGGTAATTATTAATTTATACATTTTTAAATAAATTCAAATTCATTTCCTTGTTTGATTTATTTATTATTGACCTAAGTTTGATCATCACTTGTTTTGATCAGCTTGCGGTTCTTCAAGCCGAGTTCAAACGAATGAAATCGGAGAACCAGCGTTTGAAACAGGCGCTAAACCAGGTCACCGGCAACTACAATGCTCTGCAGATGCATATATTCAGCTTGATGAAAACTCAAAAGCAGGATAAGAAGATTAACTCAATATCAGAAGTGGAATTAGCTGCGAGAGAAGTTGTTCCTTGGCAGTTTATGGATCTCGGTCTTGCCTCTAACAACAACGGCCGCGGCAACGGCGACGAGCCCTCGTCTACTTCTTCCGAAGAACGACGATCAGGATCGGCCGGAAACAACAACGGAAAGACGCGAGAAGATAGCCCGGCTGATCATGATCATCAATCATCCCAAGGTTGGGGTTATCAGAAGAAGGTCCCTAGAACGGCGTCGTCCGATCAGTCAGCCGCAAAAGATAATGATCAAACTGAGGCTACCATGAGGAAGGCGCGAGTTTCGGTTAGAGCACGATCGGAGGCCCCTATGGTATGTATATATATTAGATGTTCAAAGCCTTTAATTTGAGTTTACAATTTTACGATTAAAATTAATTTTCAGTTGAAATGATTTATGGAGAATTATTGTTGGGTTTTATATTTATTTAGATCGCTGATGGATGTCAATGGAGGAAATATGGACAAAAAATGGCGAAGGGAAATCCATGTCCTCGAGCTTATTATCGCTGCACCATGGCCGCTGGTTGCCCGGTTCGAAAACAAGTGAGTACTTTAATTTTTTTGGCTGAAACTTTTTTTTTTTTTAAATTACTTTAGGTAAATGTTTTACTTAATACTTTCATTTTATCATTGCTTACTAAATTTAGCAATAAAATATGTTCATATGAAGTTGTATCTAGAAAGCATAAAACACTTTTTTTTTTCTTTTTTACTTTTCTACTCGTGTAATCAGAATAGTGAGCGCTAGCTTTAATTTTCCGTCTTCTGAAAAGAGTTATGACTCATTATATCTCCTAATACTCAACGTTTATAATTTAGAACGTGGAGAATCCTAAGCTGGAAATAGTTGTTAAAGGCGGGAAGAAAAAGTAGTTTCCAAGCCTCTTTCTCCGATAATTATTTCTTTAATATTCTATTAACATAAGATATGGTCATGCATCAAAATCTCCTTCCCCGAAAGCCATTAATTCTTTGATCAATGCTTTAAAAAAATAAATAAATTTTAACAATTCTGCATCACATATTCATAATAATATTCACATGCCAATTATTCGATTCACACTTATATGACGCGTTTTTCTAATCTTAATTTAATATGTTATGGACCAAAATTGAACAGGTACAAAGATGTGCAGAAGAACAAACAATCCTAGTAACGACATACGAAGGCAACCACAACCACCCATTGCCACCGCCGGCAATGGCGATGGCGTCGACAACCTCTTCCGCAGCCCGAATGCTGCTCTCGGGCTCGATTTCTAGCGCCGACGGCGTAATGAACCCAAACTTCATGGCCAGAACCATGCTTCCTTGCTCCTCAAGCATGGCCACAATCTCAGCCTCAGCCCCATTCCCCACTGTTACATTGGACCTGACGCAGTCCCCAAACCCTCTGCACCTCCAAAAGCCGCCGCAAATGTCCCCGTTCCACGTCTCATTGCCTTCGAACCGGCCGTCTCAGGGATTATTGCCTCAGATTTTTGGTCAGGCTCAGGCGCTTTATAACAACCAGTCCGAATTCTCCGGCCTTCAAGTGTCCAGAGCTGGCCAAGACAACATGGCTGTCGTTACGGGAGGGCATAACGGGCACCAAGTACAAATGCCGCAGCACGGCTCCTTCACTGACAGCGTCACCGCTGCCATTGCGGCCGATCCCAACTTCACCGCGGCTCTAGCCGCTGCTATCTCCTCCATCATAAGTGGGGCTCATCCGAGTAACATGAGCAACAATGTAGCCAATCTCACCACAAATAGTAATAATAACAATAATAGTATTAACGGCAACAATAATGAATCAAATGGCAATGCTACCACTACTAGCAACAGCAACTAGGTCATGGCAAGGAGACCAACGGCGATACCTTCTAGTTCCTTGTTTTTCATCTATAGTAATTGTTGGAATTTTTTTTCCTTATAAATAGATTTTTTCCTTCTTTGGTATAAAAGAAATGTACAATATATAGCTATTTTTTTATAATTCTCCATTTCTGTAGCAAGAAATGGAACAAAATAACTGATCTTGGTGCGTATTCTTTCTTCAATAATTGGGGGAAATTAACAATGGAAAAGAAAGAAGAAGGAGAAACGATATTTACCAATGCAAATAGGATAAGTTTTTGAGTTTTTTATACAGAAATCAAAAGAAGGTTCTCTTTGTCTATCTATCTTTTTATATTTTAATTGTCAATATGGTTATATATGCATGTTTTACTATACAAAGACGGAGACAAAAGCCGGAAGGAGTAGATAAGACAAAGAAAGTGATAAATTAAGGGAAAGAACAAAGGGAAGAAAAGAGGACGAGGGATTTTATTCTTTCTCTTGTAGTTACGTGCACTGAGTGGCAGTCAAGAAAAGGAGTCAACAAAACCGTCTGAGAGAGAGTGGTTAAAAGGGGTAGGATTTGTTTGACACGTAAAGAAAGAGAGTAAACGTTATTAAGAGATAGAAAGTGACTTTTAGATTGTCTTGTTTTGATTGTTTTCATGCTAATATTTTGGACCTCTCCACCGTCCACTCCACACCATAGAGAGTGGGTAACTTTTGATGGATTTTACTTGTGACCACGTCCACATATACATGCCGTATATCAAAATTTTCAATGTATTTTATCCTTTTGTTTTCTTATATTATCTTATTACTTATTAAGAAATGAGTACTAGAGGTGCCTTGTTTAATTGCTTGTGACATAACATGAGTACTTTTTCTTACCCAAAACAAAGGATGTTTTTATCTATTGGACTATTGACTATGTATTTATCTGTAGTTTTACTTTCTATTATATATATATATATATATGCCGTAAATCTGTTCACGCCGGGTAAGCGTGCTCATGCACAAACATAATAGTTATCTAGCATGCACGTATTTTTTTGGGCCGATAAAATATGCATTTGATCAATTACAACTACAAGGAGTGTGTAGTAAAACGTTTTGCTATTGCCTTTCGCCGACCTTTTTTTCATTTTTCCCTGTTTCCTCCCTTTTTCTTGTCTTATTTAAATAACAATAATATATAGTTAAATTCTAACCCGTATAACTCACTCAATGAGTGGCTGTCATCATTGATTGATAGAAATTAAGATGACGTGCTCAAAGTTTTGGACTTCAATTTCTACTCACTCCTACAAGATAGTAAATAACATGCGCTTAAAAGATGGTGCATGAACAAAAAAATCGCCATTTTTATTATTTGAATAGGGTGAGAAATTTTTTTTAATATTTTAATGGTGGTTGGAAAAACGACCACAGTGAAAAATGTGAATAATTTTGATGCATTTTGGCGGTATTACAATTAAGGACAGTTGTCAAATGACTGCCATCTAGACCCACACAATAAAATTTAGGAAATATATTTAACGGTCAAGTAAGAGCATCTCTAATACAATGGTATAATTAATGTGTCAATTGTAAATATAGTATTTGAGTACAAAAATCACTCTCCAACACAATGTTATTTATTGTGTCAAACTCCTAGATACTATACTTTGTGGTAAATTTTTCACCAAGTATAGCATATGAAAAATTTAGCATTTAATTACTATTAGTTGAAATTTTTACTTTTTCATGTAATCATTGCAATTTTTGTAATTTTTAATTATTTTAAACATAAAAGTTTACTTTTACAACTTTCAAAACTTTATAATTATGAGAAAAAAAAAAGATTTAACATTTTAAATAGTATTATGCATTGGAGTAAAAATGAAAATATCATATCATATCACAATTTTTTTATGATAAATATACAATTTATATTAGCATTTGTATTGGAGACAGTCTAACTGCTAGCTATTTAATGACACAAAAAACGGATTTAATGGCATGTTATTTAGTTATTACTTATATTTTATAAGAGCATCTCCAAAGGAGCTCTCTAAATTTTAGCGAAATTCTAGTTAAAATGGCTAGAAAGCTATTTTAACTAGCAACATTTTAGTGAGTGACTCCAACCATACTCTCTATTTTTTAGCGAAACATAGATTATTTTAATTTTTTTTAATTTAAAATATAAATAACTTTTTTTTAACTTTTGCTTTATGTTAAAATAAAGAATAAAATAATAAAAATAACAAATAGCTAGCCACTTCTGATTAGCTATATTTAGCTAGTGGAAAATATTTAAGTAAAAATAGCTAAGGCTCGTTTGTAAAGTATACTCAAATCATGATTCTTGCTTCTAACATTTAAAATTCAAATTTTTTGTGAGAGAAAAATACTATAGCAGAATTAATAATGTGAGTTTAAATTATAATAATTATGTTTTAGAATATAGAGTCATTTTAGAATTTGATAGAAATGTTACGAGTACATATTCTATTCCATACTAGCATATAAGGATAAAATATTACTAGGTAGGTAGATCCTTCTCCGATTTTAGTCCGTGACGAAGCCAGTAATTTTTGTGAGGATGGACTATAACTACGCTAAATTACTACAAATTGTCTCTAAAGGGAGTTTTTGTATTTAAAAATATTGTATATGTAGAAAGGGAAGTAATTCACGGCTGTGAAACTGCAAGATTACTCTGTTTTAAGTCACTTTTTTTTTTTAAAGATCAAACCTTCTCCTTCATGAAAAAAATGACCCTCATAATCATGCACGCATATTGTCATTAATTAAGGTCACACATGACTGCAGATATTATGCACACATATAATATGACGTTCAGTAGTACCTTTGGAGCTGAAGAATACTTAATGAAAATAATGTTCGTTAATTGGTTTTATGTAAGGTTTTTTCAACAAAAGCCTATCCAATATAGCTGAAAATGAAACATGGGTTTTAATGAAAGCACAAATCATATGCTCAAATTTATTAGAGGCAGACAAACCTAACACATGGTGACAAGAGTGATGGCTGCTAGCTTAATTTTCGTGCATCAGCCTTTGACACATATTTCTACGGCGGCTAAGAATGTTATATATGTCCTCTCTTTTCTTTTTTTCTTTTTTTCTTTTTTTTTATTTTAATGAAAGACGTATATATGTCCTCTTATCTATATAGACGCAGCCCTTTTCTTAATTCTTTCTCTCCGTTCTTCTCATCATTTTTTTTGAAATGTGATTCTTTTTCCTTCTTTGATATTCGTGTAAAATTTGGAAAATACATTATGATCTTTTGCTTCATAGTTTCGAATAAAAAATTTGAATCGAAATTAAATTTTTTTATGAAATTTGTGACAGAAAATATTATAATAAACAAAATTTAAACTTTGTTTCAAACCCGCAAAAATTTTTGTATGAGTTTAAACTTTAAAATATCATAATAAAAAAAATTTAAACTTTATTTCAAACCTGCAAAACAAACGAACTAAGGATTGTACGTTTTACCAGGGACATATACAAGGGAAAATAGAAAGAGTGGGAGATATGGAAGCGTCACAAAGTAAATTATAGGCATTGGGAACGCAATACAGGCCCAATGGTCTAAAAAGTGATAAATCTCTAACCCTTTTTTTTTTCTTTTTCTTTTTAAGAATGAGTCGACTGTAACTCAAATCTTATTCCAACTTGAAATGATTTTGTCTTAAGCTCGTGTTAGCTTTCTTCCTTCTCCCTGTTTTTCTTCCCATTGAAATTCCATATTCCTACTTTGGAAAAGACAATAATTGAGGACCATTTTCCATAGTAATCGCATTTTGGCATTTTCGATATGTCACACGAAGCAAAGAGGTAACCCTCTTTGCTTTTGTTTCTTCCTCATTCCATGGCCAGCAGTTTGCCTATCAATATTTGATTCAAAATCTTATTTGACTTTCGTGAACCGAACCAGAAAGCAAAACTTCGAAAGACCATCGGAAATATTGAAGCTCATCAGAAGTTGGCTCTGTTTGTGAAAACTTGTGCCGTCGAGAAAAAAATGATTTACACATCTAACGTGTAAATGAGATGAACCTCTCTCTCAACGAAAAAAAAAAAAAAAATTACTAATGGTAATAATATAATAATAGTGAATGAGATGAACTGACATGTTCTCCTTGATACTGTCCAACGACAAGTCGTATAACAACAATGGCCAAAATTGTCTGGTTAAGAGACTTGTCGCCTAACCAAAACGGGGTCATAATTTGTACAACCCCATTTTTTTTTTATGTCTCTTCATATTTATTGTGGTTTACTCATTTGATGACCATTGATATTTTGTTCTTGTTTTTTCTTCCACTCGTTTCATACCCTTTGCCGTTTTCATATTCCTTGTCGTTTTAATTGATGTGGTTTTTTTTTTATTTTTATCCCGCTCTTAGTTACTCTCGCTTTTACATCCCGATCCCTTTATTCCTTTGGTTTTCGCTTGCACTTTGTACGGCAGGGAAGGAAGGAGAGAAAATAAGATGAGGGAGGGGCAAAAAAAAAAAGAGAGAGAGAAATAATAGAAAATAAGAGGAATAAAATCAGAATATAAAAATATACTTTTTTTGTACTTTTATAACTTTTTTTTTGTTTGGTGTTGAAAGTGAAATACAAATAAATATTTTTCGACAATTGAAATGATATATATTTTTAAAGTGGTTTTATTCACACATCCTTCTTAATTACTCTCCATACAATCTCTAATTAAAACTTTTATTATGAAAACCTCATAGACCCACATACTATACCCATAAATAATAAAAACTTGTTATTCTAAAATTTATATAAAAAAACCCTAATTTTCACTTTTCAATAACTATTGATAATTTTCACATAAATTATTTTTGTGTATGAAAGGTTCCATGCTTAAAGTTTTAACTAAAAAAAGAGAGATAGACAGAAAAATGATTATATTAATGTAACAAATTAAAATAAAACCGAAAGATAATATTAAAGCAACAAATTGAAATGAAACGCACTACAACAATAAAGGCTATTTGTTACAACTTTTTTTGCGATGACATTTGTCGTCGCAAATAATACCATATTTACAACGACGTATCGTCGCAATTACTCCCCGTTAAATAAAATAACCATGTCGTCGCTAATAACTTAAATGTCGTCGCAAATAATTTTGGAGCGCAAATTTCAATGGTGCGGATTTTTGGCGCTAAGGTAATCCATTTTTTGTGACGATTAGTCGTCGCAAATATCTTACCATTTGTGATGACATTTGTCGTCGCAAATAGTTTAGGTTATTTACAACGACATTGTCACTTTGTCGTCGTAAATA